ATCTTACAGAATGATCTTAAATACAAAGAACGTTCAGATATTGTTTCACTTTCAGTTGAACGTAATATTGAACTATCTTGTGTGGAACTTGATGAAATGATCATAATATGTGTATATCGACCCCCATCTGGGAATTACACTCAATTTGAGTCCGCTATGGAAGACGCTTTCAATATAGTATGTAAATGTAATAAAGTGCTTGTTGTATGTGGTGATTTTAATATAAATATTTTAGTTAAGTGTCCGTTAGTGGGTAGGTTTCTAAACTTATTTAAATCATATAACTTGGAGCATATCTTCTTTGAGCCTACCCGCATCACACATGCATCAGCAACCTGTTTGGATAATATTTTTTGTAATAGGAAAGTTTTTAATAAATCAATAATAAATTGTATTAATTCTGATCATAGTGGACAATTAGCCTCTCTTGAACACCATCATGCTTCACACAAACATGACCTAACTTATAGACCAATTACACAAACGGGTATAAATAAATTTAAAGATAGTGTTTATCATAAAATGTCGGACTTACCAGTTTGTAATAATAATAATATTTTATATGAAGATTTATTTAATTTAATTAAAGATGAATGTAATAAAATATTCAAACGCAAAGTAATTAAATGCCATAGCTCTAAAAAGAATTTTAGTGATTGGGCCACACCTGGTATTTACAAAAGTAGAAATAAGTTGTATCAATTATATGCTCTCAAAGCAACCTCATCTGATCCTAAGTTTATAGAATATGTCAAAAACTATTCAAAAACTTTTAAAAAGGTGTGTGCCATAGCGAAAGCTAAATTTTTATCAAAAAAAATTAGTCTATCAGATAATAAAATAAAGACAACTTGGAATATAATTAATAATGAAACTGGAAGAAATAAATTCAATGAACGCACATATTCTTTAAAAATAGACAACAAGATTATTCGGACAGATGATGCCGTTGCCAACACTTTTGAAAATTTCTTTTCTAGTGCACCGTTTGAATCAACTAGAAATCTTAATTCTTGTTCTAGGTTAGCAATGACGCTCCTTGAGTCAAGCGTTGATAAGTGCAGTAATGATTTTTATTTTAGACACATCAGTAGTGATTGTATTATAAAAACATTTAATTCTATTAATATTAAAAAGACAGAGGATTTATGGGGAATATCAACATATATAATAAAACCGATTATCACTGTCATTGCGCCACAACTGGCCATTATATTTTACAAATGTATTGATGAGGGAGTGTTTCCAGATCTAATGAAATGTGCTAAAGTTATCCCTCTTTTTAAGGCTGGTGATAAATCAGATCCCAGCAATTTTAGGCCTATATCTGTATTACCAGCGCTAAGTAAAGTATTTGAGAAAATAATTTATAACCAATTACTAGCACACTTTTCTATAAATAAGCTACTTCATTTAAAACAGTTTGGTTTCACTAGAGGCAAAAGTACTACTGATGCTGGAACTGCACTTCTCAAACACATTTTTGATATATGGGAGAGTAAGCACGATGCTATTGGCATTTTTTGCGATTTATCTAAGGCGTTTGACTGCGTTAGCCATGAAACATTGTTAAATAAAATGAAGCATTATGGTGTATCAAATATTTCACTAAGTCTGATACAGTCTTATCTTTCTGCTAGGATTCAGAAAGTAGTTATAAATGAAGCTGAGTCTACAGGAGCACCCATTTCTATGGGCGTGCCCCAGGGTTCAATATTGGGCCCATTGCTTTTCCTTATTTATATTAATGACCTTCCTCACTTTACAAGAGATTTGTGTGAGACAGTACTATTTGCTGATGACACCTCTTTAGTGTTTAAAGCTAGGAGAGGAAATGATTGTTATGACGAAGTAAATTTTGCTCTCTCTGAAGTCCTTCGCTGGTTTACGGTAAATAATTTAAAACTAAACTCTAGCAAAACAAAATGTGTTAAGTTTACTTTACCTAATGTGAGGCAGGTTAATACTAGTTTAAAAATAAATGAGCAGCCTGTAGAGTTAGTGGATTCTACAAAGTTTCTGGGTATTACTTTAGACTCGCATCTGCAATGGGATCCTCATATTGATGCCTTATCAAGTAGACTGAGCTCTGCGGCCTTCGCTGTTAAAAAAATAAGACTCCTAACTGATGTGGAAACGGCAAGAATGGTTTACTTTGGTTACTTTCATAGCGTTATGTCATATGGCCTTTTGTTGTGGGGCTCAGCTGCTAATATAGAAAGTATTTTCGTACTGCAAAAGAGAGCTGTTCGCGCCATATATAATTTAAAGGCAAGAGAATCTCTTAGAGAAAAATTTAAAGAAATTAATATTTTAACACTGGCATCGCAATACATCTATGAAAATATAATATATGTAAGAAGAAACTATGACGCATTTGCAAAAAAAAGTCAAACCCATAACTTAAACACGAGATTTAAGAACAAGCTTGCCGTTCCATGTTTCAGACTCCAAAAATCTAGAGGTTCATTTCTGGGATGTAGTATTGCATTGTTTAACAAAGTTCCCCAAGATCTGATTGAGCTTCCACTAACCAAATTTAAATCTCAGATTAAGAATACTCTTATGAATAAGGGCTATTATAAAGTTAATGATTATCTAAATGATCGTAATGCATGGACATAGTGTTTCTTGTAATTTCTTATTTGATGGGTATGAGTCAGTTTTGTAACAGTAGTATGGTACCTATCTAATGCCGCTTCCTATATATACTAAATATAAAATTTGTTGTAACTATATATCTATACCCTAAATAATGTAATGGAAGGTGACTTCAGAAGTATGTCTGAAGTCATTTTTCAACTTGACGACTCTGTATATATCAATACAGGGAGAAAAAAGCAGCCCTTGCTGAGTTTCTTGCCGGTTCTTCTCAGTACAAGGTCTCCCGCCGTAGTTTTGCGAACCGATGGCGTAGCTTCTTGACTTTCACAAGTGCTTGTAACAGCCTAGACTGAATAAATGACTTTTCATTTCATTTCAGTGCCTTCATCTGTTCGTTTCTGTCGGCCTATATCTATAGAATTTTGCAAAGAAACGCCAGAAAAAACTAAATCGGTTGTAGATGAAATAAAAAATCAAATACAAACTTTGCTTCCATCAATAAGTAATATAGAAGGCATGGGAGTCCAAGTCAAACATGAACTTTTTTTGATGATGATAGACGGAAAAGTGGCACAAGTTTTAACAGATACGCCTTCTAGTTCCACATGTACAATATGCGGAGCAACTCCTAGACAAATGAATGATTTAACGAAAGTAATAGCTAGGCCTGAAAATGAAAATGCTTATCAATACGGATTATCCACATTACATGCCTGGATTCGTTGCATGGGAATGATATTACACATATCATATAATCTATCTTTCCAAACGTGGTCTGCTACAAGCGAAGAAAAAAAAAGACTCAAACAAGACAAAAAGGCTGAAGTACAAAAGCGATTTCGTGAAGAGTTGGGTCTAAATATCGATAAACCACGACAGGGGACGGGAAATAGTAATGATGACAATACTGCTAGGAGATTTTTTTACAATGCTGCCTGTTCTGCTGATATCACAGGGATTGACATTGATTTAATTAAACGGTTATATATTATTTTGCAGGCTTTGTCATCTGGTATAGTGGTAGATAGTAAGAAATTTGGTAATTATGCTCTGGAAACTGCAAGAATATACGTGAGTAAATATAGTTGGTATTACATGCCATCATCTGTCCACAAAATTTTAATTCACGGAGAGAGTATCATAAACCATTTCGCAGTATTACCAATTGGGCAACTTTCAGAAGATGCTCAAGAATCTCGCAATAAGGACTATAAAAAATTTCGCTTACACCATGCTCGGAAATGCTCTCGAATAGCTACAAACGAAGATGTGTTTAATACACTACTTTACACTTCAGATCCATATATAACGAGCATAAGAAAACCATATGCAAAAAATGTAAAGGAGCTCGATGAAGATACTTTCAAGTATCAAGGTTTTCACCTTCTCAAGGTTAATGAACTTATTTCAGATCCTGAAGCTCACCGGGTGTAAGATGTCAATCTTGCTGAGCAAAAAAAAAGAAATATATATTGCGATAATTTTGATTTGTTTCTGTATGTTAGCGTAGTGTTAAAAATATTTTACCATTTTTAATTTTATATTATCAATATAATATGATAGTTATCTTAATAGAGTAACTAGCGTTAAGAAATAGACGTACAATATGTTTCTAAAAAATATTTCAATAAATAAATAATACTAATAATACTATTTTAAATAATTTTGTAACTTTTCTTTTTTAATTAAAAAAAAATACGCATAATTCCAATTCATCAAACATTACTTATATGAATCCTTATGTATCACTTTATATTATAGCAAAATTTTATAAGTCTATCTTTCAAATTGACGGAGTTACAGATTTTTAATCCGAAACACACCGAAATATTCCACAGTGCAGCGGCCGGCGAAGCGCCAGAAAGAAAACTTCGTTAATAGAGACTTTTTCTACAAAAAAATCAAATATCACCTCTAGGCCCTGAAAGTACAGTTTTACCTCTAAAACCCCTCTATTTTTTTATAATTATCATTTCTGTAAAAAAACGCCGGGAGGGGGGGGGTACCCTTCCCTCTAAGGGGTCTTCCCTAATACCTATCCCCCTGAAATTCCACTACATTTAACAGATAATGAATTTTTTGGTTAGGTAAAAAAAAACTGCATTTCCGCCAAAAATCTTTTATGGTGGGGGGGTCGAGGCGAGCCCCCCCTCCCCACCTACAAATTACCCCGAAATTCAATTACATATAATGGAATTAAGTACCTGAAGCATTTGATAGGTTAACAAGTAAAAATAAATATTTAAATTACTTTAGATGTACTTAAACAATATAAAAAGGGGTCAGTTTGAAAATCTATAAATTTTTAAAATGTAATCTAAAATTATTTATATTTGACTGAGCTTATATGTAATTAAACAAACAACTCATTTAAATTCAGACTGAATCTGACTTACCATTATCACCAATTGAAAATAGGTCACTATTGGTAATATCTGAAATGCTGCTCGAAGCTGATGTAACTGCAGCCTGAATAAGAAAGTAATGTGAATATGAGTGTTTTTTATTTAATGAGCATAGTAAACAGGCATATGACCATCAGATAATGTTAAGTAGACTATAGGCACTTGTGATGCAATCATTGTTGTGTTGCCTATCCTGACCCCTTCCCACACCCTTTGTAACTGGAAATATTATTCAACGCCAAAAACACAATAGCACTATAAATGAAAAATCACAGCAATCTTCTATTGTAATGTATCACATATGTGCATTTCAGTTGAATATTGTTAAGATTGCAAATATTGCAGGTATAAATAAATTAAACTGCCCAAACTAAATCGCCCAAAAAATGAATTACCAAAAGATTGACATACCTGAGCTGCTTGTGCGAATTGTTGGATTCTCTGAGGCGAAGATTTTACTTCTTCTGCGAGCTTATCCTTTAGCTTTTTAAACATGTTGATGTTCAAATACCTTATTTACTATGATGGCATTGGTTTAATAATAATCATAAATCAATGACCAATTGATTTTTCTTTAATTTATAGAAATTGAGTTAATTTCTCATCAGTTTTTGTGAATTTTGAGAAATAATTTCACTTTGACATTTTCTGTCACGTCACGTCATTATGGACTTTTTTTTAAATTCTCTATCTTGGAAGGCAAACAATTAGCCCATACAGTTTATATGGTTACAAAATCATTACTGTATGGATATTAGACCACCCGATTTTAAGGGACTACTACTACCTTACCCTGACCAAGGGTGGTGTAATTTAGAGTTGGGGAATACAGGACCCGATCTAGGGCGATCAGCGTGTCCCGATCTCCCTTACGCCCTGACGAACGGGTAGTGAAATAGCTGTTATGCAGTAAAGGAACTCAGTCGACACTCTGAGAGCGTATAGCACACGTGACTACAAAAATTTTATAAAAAATTTTTTTTTGATGATCATTTACATATTTCTCTTTAAATATAGACAAAAGTGCCGAAGAATTTAGAGAAGTTTAAAAAAATGTCATCAGAATACATCGGGTGCCATAACGACAACGTTCAACCGAGATGTCTTTTACTTTCAGACTGAGTTAGAGTCCGATTGATATGGCGGTGTAATTTCCTACCCTAGCTAGAGAACGACATAGCATATCCTTTCGATAGGACTCTTAAAATTGGGTAGTGTAATAGCCATTTTAAGCAGCTCAGTCGAACGTCCTGAGAGTTTAGTAGGGATGTTTTGTTGTAGTCGATCGAATTAGTTTACTGGCGCGATGGCATCTAATGAAGAAATAACTGTTTTCTTTTAATTATTATAATTTTCATGGCAAAAAGAAATCAAAAACTATTAAAATAAGGCACATTTTTAAATAATCAGCAAATATAGTCATTGATCCTCAAAGTTATACAATTGGATAATTTAGCGTTACCTAATTTATGTGAAAATTTAAAAAAATTGCTGTCGGTCATTTACATATTTCCCTTTAAACAAAGAAAAAAGCGGATTTAGAGAAATTTATAAAAATTTGGTCAGAATGCATCAGGTGCCTTAGCGACGACGTCCAACCGAGATTTCGATTGATAGGGCAGTGTAATTTTTATTTCTTTTTTATTAATTTTGGTTTTATATTGTTACTTTTAAAATTCATTTTTTTCTTTTTTATAATTTTAGTAGGTAATAGTATAGTATATTAAGAGTCCGTAGTTTGTGCATATCTATATATTCTTCAACAACATTAAGGATATATCCATGGGTTCCGCAGCCGCTTCTAAGTTAAGCGGTTATTCCACCTGACTAAATTCAGACGATCTAGTTAGGATCCTAAAAAGGAGGCTAATTAGAAGCTTCTGATTACACTTGACTATTTTAGTTACTGAATCAGTCAGTTACAAGCGCGCTGCGAATTCAGTCGGACTTTTTCGTAATTGCTCCAGCCCTGTCACAGCAACAAAAAATATGTCTTCTCGTAGGCCTGGCAGTTGGCTCAATAAAAATAAAATAAAGTAAAAAACGAAAAAAGTGGGTGAAAGAATATTAATATTATTTTTATCGTTTTTGTTCCAAAGATACGGCATATGTGTATACAATTCAATTATGTTACTCATTACTTCTTAACTTCTTTTTCTTTTACCGCCGACATCGCACACTCGCGTAATTCGGAATCGTAGACACAACACGTCCTCACACAATGACACTTGCGGTCTGCGGTGCGACTGTAGCATCTAAACTAGGGATATTCAATTAATATCGATATATTGAATTTATTCGATATTTACCATAGGATATATTGAGTGAATCGATTTTCATTCTATTTTTTTTCGGCGGTAGGAGTAAAATTAACTAGACGTTTCTAAAAATCATCATCTTTTTATTTTAATTTTAAATAGTAAAAGTATCATTTGGTTACTTTTTTAGTTCAAATTTAGCAGCTAATACAATAATAGTCACTGTATATTGTTAGTGGCATACTCCATGCAATAAATCTAATTTTAACTGCACTTCACTGCCGGCTAACATTTTTCTTTGCACTGCATTATTATTTTTCTCAACTGACTTGAAAATGGCCACTTTGAGTGATGTACATAATAATCAAAAGTCACTTGAATCCATTCTCCTTAAGGAGATGACAGAATTTGAGGCACAACTGAAATCAACAACGGAGATGTCTTCGGTTGGTGTCCTTTACGAAGAGTTCAGAAACTTCAGGGAGACTGTTTCAAGCATCTTAGTGTCCTTCAACAGCAAATACTGAACCTTACTCTTTCTGTTGACTCCATTGAGGCTAGACAGCGTCGCAAAAGTTTGCTTTTTTATGGTGTGCCAGAGGAAACCAAGGAAAACAATAATGATCTCATAGTTAAACTAATTCAGGAGAAACTCTCTATTGAGAATGTTGGACCTTCTCACTTCAAGGCTTGTCACCGTCTTGGGGCTCGAGTTGAGGATCGCCCACGTCCTATTCTTGTGAGGTTCACAGACCACACAGCAAGGACTTCAATCTGGATGAAGAAGACCGCTCTTAAGGGCACATTTTTTGTAATCACCGATTTCCTAACCCGGGTAACAGTGCTGTCCTGTTTATATTATACGTGAATTTTGAGTTACCTAAGAAACTTTACTAGCTATTTCAGAAAAAGATTAAGATTATATTTTATAAGCAAATACTTTTTTCGAAAAAAAATATCCACCTTAAGTCACTATAATTTGTGTAATTAAGAAACCTTAACAATGTTTTTTTATATAAATTGATTCAAATAAATCTAATTAGAAATTTGGTAAAATCTAAAAGATTATTTTTAAAGGCTGCTCAAATAGCCAACAAAGAAACAGAATGAAAGGCAAAAAGAGTAAGTAAACTTTTATTCCTACAAAGTCTACCTAAAAACATTGGTCTTAAATTACTAGGAAAACAGCGTGAAGAAGAAACAGACAGACAGATTTGATGTATCGACTATTTAATGGAACTGTTGCAATGACATATAGATTTTTAGTTATGTATAATTTTGGAAGACGAAAAAATTTACATAATGGCGTCTTTGTCTAAAGTATGCAATGAGAGCAGTCCAACTCTATACAAAACAGTTTCGCTATGTTGGCAACATTTTTCGTGACGTGAGACGTGTGCCTTGTCCGCCATATTGTGCCGCTGTCTAAGTACCTGCAGGCCAATTATGCTCGCTAATTGTGATATTGTTTTGATGTCTAATTCACATTACGTATTATGCTCTCCGAAAAATGAGATATCAAAATGACATCAACTTATGCTATGATGATGATCAACTCTATAAAATGATATCAACTTAAATGCGTATTACGTTCAACTTTTTGACTGAAAACAGTATCGCATAGACGTCAAAAATGTGATACAGGATATGATATTGATATGATCTTGATGTGACGTATGAATGTTTCATAATACCATTTAAAAACTATGTCAACTTGGCATCAACATCATATTGACATCGCATTAGGATTTTATTACTGAAGCATAATTGACCCGCTGCAGGCCAATTATGCTCGCTAATTGTGATATTGTTTTGATGTCAATTTCAGATTACGTATTATGCTCTCCAAAAAATGCGATATTAAAATGACATCAACTAGACATCAACTTGTGCGTATTATGATCAACTTTTTAAAATGATATCAACTTAAATGCGTAGTACGTTCAACATTTTGACTTACAACAGTATTGCATAAACGTCAAAAATGTGATACAGGATATGATATTGATATGATCTTCATGTGACATAGGAATGTTTCATAATACCATTTAAAAACAATGTCAACTTGGCATCAACATCATATTGACATCACAGATTTTATCAGTTGCCTAAAGAAGGATGCCCATTTGTGACCTGTCAAATCTGTAAAAAAATTTTGCATGTATAATTATGTGACATACCTCAAAAAAAAGGTAATTATTCGCTTATTACGAAATCAAAATATCAACAAAAACTACAATACAGTTTTTTCAAAAATAATTTTTGAAAATAATCATTATGTAGGTACATTTTTTGCTATCACACGAACGCATCCATTAGGGAAGAGTATTGTATCAAAGTAAAATGACATAATTATGAACGCAGCTTAAATGTAGATTCGCACTCTCCTTGCCAATGTTGCCAGCCATGCGGTAAATACCGTATTTAAATGGTAATGATATCGATTCTGGCATGATTCTCTAAAGCTAAACTTAAATTTGACAACAGTGCATCCTTGTCATTCTCTATACAGAATGAAAAGGAGAGACTGATGTAAAATTTAGTTTTAAGTTTAGAGAATGACGCTAGAATCGTGTCGATAGTAATATTTAAAAGGCATGGCTTTAATTTAAAGTTTCTTTCCGTTCTTAACAAAGACTGGCCATTTTCTTAGTGAAACATGACCGAAATAGTAAGGACTCCATCATCTCTTCGGCTGACTACATGAGAAGGAAATTCGTTCCGAAAAAATGCCAGCAATAATGACAGCTGCTCATAGTACCAATCATCTCAATTAATGGAAGGTATTGTAATTTTATTTTAGATTATTACCTACTTATATACTTGTCTACCAGAGATTTAAATAATACATAGTTAAATGTCTTAGATGTCTATAGATATAATTAGGTAAAGGTCAAGATTATCATTTATTCATTCGCTTGCAGAAACTAAGACATTAAGTACCTACTATTTCAATAAAATAATTGAAACTGAATTATTGATTAAATATAAAAAAAAACTTGTTTAATTCCAAAGACAATATTATAAGGATGACACCTCAGCATGATACATGTTATGATATTAATCCTTTTTTCTTCAATCCTCAGATCAAGCTTCAATCAAACAAAACAAGCGAATTGAAATAAATACCTAGCTGGGCTAAGACACCACAGCTGTGACAGCACACAAATGAATAATCTTATGCTGGCACTTCACTTGGCTATTCATGTAAACTTGACTTCAGTCTGTCCTTTTCTTTCCTTAAAACATGATAAGGACAGACTGTTGTCAAGTTTACAAATAGCCAAGTGAAGTTCCGGCATTAAATAATCTATAATCAATCTCGTAACCACAGAGTAAGTAAATGACATCTTCAGCAGTTGAATAACCTCAGAATTAGTTTTCGTTATAACT